TTCTAGATGAACCCCCATATCTTGCTGTCAAAGCAAAGTTTTCTGATTTTTACTTACCTGGGGACATTCTAAATTACTCCAAATATAAAGATTACTATGGATAGTGGTACCCTGACTACAGATACTTGATTTCTTACCTCGCTAGAGTTGAGAAATATCATTGCGAGCGCTTACACATTCCATATCCCAATTATTACTATGATAACCCAGCAAGGAATAATTCCTTTCCACTAGCAATCAATCAGGAAATTCTTCTCTACCATAGGGTAATTAAGAAGGAGTGAATGGAGGGCAAGAGGAAGGGGAGCTAATGGATGAGAGTAACCATACTGTTGATAGTTCCATTATGGAAATTCCAAACCCAAATCCACCCCCAACTCCAATTATAATTGATATTTCATCTGACGATGAGGAAGATGAAGAGTTCATTCAAGTAGAGCAAAATCCAGAGATATCTCAACCAATGGAGGAGGAAGATGACCCTGAATTCGATCCTGGAAGCTACAAACAATCGAAGGACAAGAAGGACAATGTTCGAAGGGACTAGATTTTTGTAGTTTCATTTCCTTTAGGATTCTTAGTTTTATTTCCGCAGTTTTAATTAATTCCTTTGTCAGTAAAGTAATAAGTGGCATAGCCACAGTAAGTCAATAAACCTATTGAGTTGCGTAGGTTATTTGAACTCATTTCATTTCATCTTTCTATTCACTTTCTTTCTCAGCAATAAAAGTTTTATTCATTTCCTTGCCAAATAATTCATTTTACCGCCAAATAATTCATTTCATTTCCAAATCATTCATTTCATGTCACTACTCCAATAAGTCATTTCATATTCAAATATATTCTAATAATTCATTTCTAAACTCTAGGAAATCATGGGAATTACTTTTATTTATTATTGTGATGCTTTATTAAATGTATGGTTGGTTAGCAATCAATATTTGGTTGATCAAGCTGTAATTTTGGGATTTGTAATTTTGCAATATCAATTGTGAGCTTAAAAATTAAATGTGTGTGTATGAAAGGTATAAGTTAGTTGGATGGGTGCGTAACTTGAGAGCTACCCATGACCATAATTAAATAAGACCCCTTGTTTTAATTCATGCGAAGAAAGATGGCAGGAGGAAGTGGGAGCAATAATGAAGGGAATGAGCTAAGTAAGGTTGTGAGCCAGAAACTCAACCAACAATGGGGATGCTCAGGGAGAGCTATTTAATAAGGTGGCGCAAAGCAAGCCACCAACATTTCAAGGCGAACCTAATCCAACAGTGCTGGAAAACTAGTTAAGGGATTTCGAGAAATTATTTGGGGCAGTAGGGTGCCCAGAGAATTCGAAAGTAGGTTGTGCTACCTATTACCTCAGGGGTGAAGCTGATCTTTGGTTGCAACAAAATGAGGCTACCATCAAGGCACTACCTAGGTTTAACTGAACTATGTTTCAGGAGAAGGTTAGGGACAAGTTATACCCTAGCTTCTTGCAAAAACAGAAAGCTAAGGAATTTTCCAACCTAGCAATGGGAGATATGTCGGTCACTGAGTACTATACCAAGTTTATTGAACTGTCACGGTTTGCCAAAGAGCACTACTACATTTTTTACCAAATGCAACGGCCTAATAAAGGCTAATACAATGGTATTCTAATTGTCGTTGTAATAGAGTAGGCTATTGCCATGGATTTAACACTAATGTTCTTAGAGATAGAGCTATTGCCACGGCTGTAAAGAACCGTTGCAATAGCCTAGCTATTTTAACAAAAATGAGAGCTATTGCAACGGTATGTTGTATCATGAAAAAATTTAGAATGAAGCGCGCATTTTCCCTCTATTTTTTTCACCAAATATTTTGAACAACACGTTTCTTTAATTTGCTTCCCTCTATTCACAATTCTCACGTACAGTACCTTTCCCCTTTTTCTCCATTTTCCCCATTCTCAATTTCTCATCACCATTTTCCCATTTTCTCCATTTCTCCATCTTCTTCATCCATTTGGTTATCTTCTTCATCCCACAATCTCCTAAATCGTTCTAACCTTCTATGATTTTTCTGCTCGATTATAGAGTTCCGTTTGATTATTGCTCGGATAAGTTATTGGCCGGAGGTAAATCCTCAAATTCTTTCTCCTTTTTTTTTCTCCTCTCTATTCCATCATCATTATTGCTTGAATTGAGACTTTCTTTGCCTTAAATTCGATCAATTTCAAGTTTCATGAACCCAATTTTAGGGTTTAGTTCTTTTTACAATGTCAATGTAAATTGATTTTGCAAAGACGGCGGTGTAGTCGGGTTTTCTGGTAAGATCTGCAACCTTTGATTTGATTATGCAATTGCAATTGTGCAAAATAGTAATTGAGATTGAAATTGTAGAGTTATAGCTCGATTTTTTTAGATAATTGCGAAATTGCAGAAGTTAATGGTGTTGTTATATAAATGATTTTGGTAATCTGCTTTATAAGGTGCGCGTTATTCATATATAGTGTAGAAAGTTCATACTAATTTGTTCAGCTTTGTCTACCATGAAGCCAAACGTTATTTTGCTGTCACCTTTAGATTAAAAATATGAATCAGTGGAAAGTGAATCAGTAATGCATTTTCGTGGACGCCCTTGTCTACTTTTAATTAGGTAATTTTCTGTTTGGAATATTTAGTGCTGGAGAGTTATCTGGATTACTTAATTAGTGTTATTTTTTGGGATTATTTGCTATAAATTCTGTGATTGACTTTGAAATGAGCAGAATTCAGGCTACTTGACTTAGGATAACAGGTTGTTCAAGTCTTGGTTAAAGGCACATGATTTAGGTGGTAATGGTTTTACTTTAGATGCTGATAAATTATTCTGTGTAGAAGTTAAATTCAAATGATGATTTCATGGATTACACAACTTGATGGTTAGACTCGGATAAGTGAGATTACATACCAAACATTTTGGTTTATTGATGATATGAATTTGCATAAAGTCAGGCATTGTTTTGTGCATCTTGATGAGCTGAAGTCCTTCAATAACTTTAAGTTGTGTACTAGAATGCAGACACAAAGTTATCAGTGATACCACAATTTGCACTAATACCCTGAAGTGAGTGAGAGTTGTCTTTCCAACAATTGTCCTAATCTATTGTTTTTTTCACCTCCTTATTTTGGCTTCTAGTGTAGGTGAAAATGCAGAATCTGCTCTTACAAATGTAGAGGAGAACAACAATAATGAATCAGACAAGTCAATGGGAAAAGGGGAGGCCCCAAACTTTACTGATCATATCAGTCAACAATCTGTTCTTTTTCTGTTATCCTTTTCTGTTATCTGACTTATCTCCTTCAACAACTTCCTCAGATTTGATTTTGGGAAGCTTTGGAAATAGTTTGATGTTGTGTTATGGGTTTTAGTTCTTAAAATAGTTGTTGCTACACCTTTATACTTGCCAAGTAGCACTTATTAGACTTGTGTACAAATGACTACAACAACTTGGTATAATGACTAACTGATCTGATTATACACCTCATTGAGTTTCTTGTCTGATCATGTTGAGATGAGTTAAAACTGAATTTAGAGATATAATCCAATCTATAGCGTCTTTGTTGCTCGTCTCTTGAAACATTTGTTTATTTTGAGAAAAATAAATGATCTGTATGGTTGTGTTATTTTATCATACTACGCTACTAAATGTAAGTGAATTTGCAGATTCAGTACAATATGCATGTCTTTGTTGCTTGTTCCCATGAAACTCTCACCTTCTTTTTTGAAAAAGGCAGGAAGACCATTTTGGATTGTCCAATTTGGTTAGTGAGTTTAAGCTGAATTTATAGCTTATTAAATTTAATCAGTAATGTCTTTGGTGCTTGTCTCGTCAACTACCATATCATAGGATCTAATGTTTGATAAGTCACATTCATGTATGGTGCTTGTTAATTGAAAACTATATTGCACATAGCAAATTGAAGATGGTTTTTTTTTTTACTTATTGCTTCATTTAGTTGTACACTTGTACCCATGAATATATTCTTTTAATAAGTACAAGTGAGGGGTTTTTGTGTTTCATATGAAAATTCTAATGTTGTTAGTATTTCAACAGGATTTCTGCTAAAAGGTAGGGCAGTCAGCACCAGACAGCCACACAACAACAGCAGGACAACCAGCCAGCACCAGCAATAGACAGCAGCACCAGGCTGGAACAGGCACCTGTGGCATAAGCAGTATAGCCCAACAGCAAAAGCCAGCACCAGAAGGACTATTGCAGCACCTGCACCCAGCTGGCAGGCTGAGCAGAAACAGCAGCAGAAACAGTAGCTTGGGCAGCAGAAACAACAGCTGGCAGAAACAGCAATAGACATAACCAACAGCAAGGACCTGCAGACCAAAGCCAGCAAGCCACACCAGCAACACCTCAACAACATTCCAGTAACACAGCACCAGCAATACAGGAACATCAAGAACCAGCAATAGATATCAGCAGCAACAGGCTGGAGAAAGCAGGTTGTGGCAGAACCAACAGATAGACAAGGAGCAGCTGACTAGCTGAAGACCAGCAATGCCACAGCAACAGAATCCAGCATCAACAGCCAGCACCAGTACACCAGTGGCAGCACCTGCAACCAGCAGCAGGCTGGACAAAACCAAAACACCCCCAACAGCAGCTTGCACACACAGAGTTGCAAAGCAGAAGCAAGCAAAGACTTAGAATTCATATTAATAAAATTCTAATTTAATTTTGTAATTTTCCTTATAGGTAACAATGTGCAAACTTTGAATTATTAGCATTAGGTACAGTGAACCGTGGCATTAGGGTATATGCATTGTGTGACATTAGGTATAGGAACCGTGGCATTAGGGTATATGCACTGTGGCATTAGGTATAGGAAACCGTGGCATTAGGTATTATAGCTATTGCCACGGCAATAATGTTGCCGTTGCAATAGGAATTTATCTAACGCCACGGATCATTGATGGCGTGGCATTAGGTGTCATATGCCGTTGCATTAGACCTATTGCAACGCCAGCAGATGCCACGGTACATGGCCGTTGCATTAGGCATAATACCACGGATTTTGACGCCTAATGCAACGGATTTAAGGGTTGCAATAGATAAAAAATGTAGTAGTGGAGTTTGTGGCTACAAAAAAGGCAAAGGATAGGAAATTTGAGAGCGGTTTGACCACTGATTTGCAGCTAAAGCTGTGTGGACAAGTGTTCGAAACCTTGGATGAAGTGTATGGGAGATCTGCACAGCTTTATGCGTTGGAGTTGAAGAAATGGAAAGAGTTAGCTGAGGTGGAAGGGAAGGAAAAGAGAAAGGAGATGGGGCAAAACACTGGAAACATACAAGGTAACCAGAACAACTTCAAGAAGCAAAAGTACCACCATAACAACAACAATAACTTCAACAACAAAAACAACAATAATTTCCAAGGAAATAATTGTCAAGGTGGACGAAACTTTAATGGAGGTGCTAAGAACTCTAACCAGGGAAATAATAAGGAAGGAAGGCGTTATTTCTGTAGGAGGTGCAGGAATAATCACCCTGGAAGAGACTATGACGGCAACTTAGTCACTTGTCGTGCTTGCAACAAGTTGGGACATAGGGAGTATGAGTGCTTCTCTAAAGATTCTAATAGAAACAAGCAGGGCAATAATCAAGGAGGGGCTCAAAGGAACTTTCAGGGAAACAACAACTATTCAGGGAACAAAGGGGCACAGTAGAATGGGGTGAAAGGCAACAATAATGGGAATAATCAGGTGAAGAGTGGAGCTCCAGGAAAACTAAATGTGATCAGTAGGCACGAAGTTGATACTACAAAGGATGTCATTACTGGTACTTTTTCTATTAACTTTATTCCTGTTAAAGTTTTGTTTGATTCCAGTGCAACTTTTTCTTTCATTTAAAAAACCACTGTTTCAAAGTTATCACATTGTTTGAAAACTTTAGATGACATAGATGTACCCATAGTTATTCCTATGGGAGGGGTAGTACAGTGTACCAAAACTTTTAAGGATGTGCCATTAGAGATCAAGGGAAAGGTGTTTTTGTCTTACCTCATTGAATTTTGGTTAAGTAACTTCGATATCATTTTAGGGATGGATTGGTTGAGCAAATATAGTGCAGAGATTAGTTGTCGATCACATAAAGTACAAATGAGTACAACTAAGGGTGAGTTGGTGACCTATTGGAAGCATGGTGAGACAAAGTGCCCAAGGATCACATCTGTGTCAAAGTTGGCAAAGTATATTAAGAAGGGGCATCCAGTATACGTTTGTAGTGTGAGGAATTTAGAACATGAAGAGGCAGCTAAGCCTGAGGACATAGAAGTGGTGAACAAGTTTCTAGATGTGTTTCCAGAAGAGATTCCAGGAATGCCACCTAAAAGGGAAATTGATTTCACAATAGAGCTGGTTCTAGGAACAACACCAATTTCCAAGGCACCATATCGAATGGCACCTGCACAAATGAGTGAATTAAAGAAGCAACTGCAGGATTTGTTAGAAAAGGGGTACATTAGACCAAGTGCTTTGCCTTGGGGAGCTCCAGTGTTGTTTGTTAAGAAAAAGGATGGGAGTATGAGGTTATGTATTGATTATAGGGAGTTAAATAAGGTCACCATTAAGAACAAGTACCCATTGCCAAGGATTGATGACCTATTTGACCAATTGAGGGGCGCATCTGTGTTTTCTAAGATTGATTTAAGGTCTGGATACCATCAACTGAGGTTTGCAGGCGAAGATATTCCCAAAATTGCATTTAGGACAAGATATGGACATTATGAGTTCACAGTAATGCCATTTGGATTGACGAATGCTCCAGCAATCTTCATGGACTTGATGAATAGGGTGTTCCATCCATTTATGGACAAGTTTGTTGCGGTGTTCATAGATGATATACTAGTTTATTCAAAGAATAAGGAGGAACATGTAGAACATTTTAGGGCAATTTTGCAAACCTTAAGGGAAAACAAGCTTTATGCGAAGTTTTCCAGGTGTGAGTTTTGGTTGGAGAAAGTAGCATTTCTGGGTCACTTTGTGTCCAAGGATAGGGTAAAAGTAGATCAAACAAAGATTGAGGCAGTAAAAGGGTGGCCTACACCAAAGACGGTGTTTAACATTAGGAGCCTCTTAGGTTTAGCAGGGTATTATAGGCGTTTTGTGAAGGATTTTTCTAAGATTGCTAAGCCTATGACCTCTCTACTGAAGAAGGACAAGAAGTTTGAGTGGGATGATAAGTGTGAGGAATCTTTCCAACCCTTAAAACAAAAGTTGATTACAGCACCAATGCTTACATTGCCAGATGATAGTGGAATCTATGATGTATATAGTGATGCATCCAAGAATGGTCTAGGATGTGTGCTTATGCAAAATGGGAAGGTGATTGCATATGCATCAAGACAGTTGAAACCTCATGATGTAAACTTACCCTACTCATGACTTAGAATTAGTTGCAATCATTTTTGCACTAAAGATTTGGAGGCATTACTTGTATGGGGTAAAATGTAGGATTTACACAGACCATAAGAGTTTGAAGTACATTTTCACCCAAAGAAATCTAAACTCACGTCAAAGGAGATGGGTTAGAATTTACAACGGACTATGACTTGGACATCAATACCATGAAGGGAAAGCAAATGTAGTTGCAAATGCTCTAAGTCGTAAGACCAGTCATGGACTGCACACTTTGATAGTGGCTAATGAGTTGTGTAGGGAAATGAGAAAAATGAATTTAGAAGTGGTAGAATGGGGAGTACCAGCGAGTATACTTGTGAATCTGAGTATTCAACCAACAATATGTGATGAGATAAGGGAGAACCAAGCAGGAGATGTTAAGTTGGATAGGATTCGTGAGAAAATAAAGCAAAGGAAGGATATAGATTTCAAAATTCATGAAGATGGAAGTTTAAGGTACGAGGGTCGATGGTGTGTACCGCAAAAATGTGAGGAAGTAAAGAGAAAATTAATGGAAAAAGGTCATAATACACCATACTCAGTACATCCAGGAGGGGACAAGCTATACAAAGACTTGAAAAAGATGTATTGGTGGCCTAGAATGAAGAATGAAGTTGCGGAATTTGTAACAAAGTGTCTAAATTGTCAAAAGGTTAAAATAGAACACAAGAGACCGTAGGGAACTTTGCAATCATTGGAAATTCCTGGATGGAAGTGGGATTGTATTTTGATGGACTTTGTGACTTACCTCCCAAAGTCAAAGAGTGGAAATAACACCATTTGGGTCGTGGTGGATAGACTTACTAAATTTGTAATGTTTACACCAATGAAGGAGACCTGGAAGATGGAGCAACTTGCAAAAGCTTACATCAAGAATTTTGTGAGGTTACATGGAGTTCCAAAGGATATCGTGTCTGATAGAGATTTTAGGTTTCTTTCAAAGTTCTGAAAGAGTGTGCAGGAAAACTCTGGTACAACACTAAAGATGAGTACAACATTTCACCCTGCAACAGATGGACAAACTGAGAGAACTATTCAAACCTTGGAGGATATGTTGAGAGCTTGTGTCATAGACTTCCAAGGGGGATGAGAAGATAGCTTGGACTTAATTGAATTTTCTTATAACAATAGTTACCATGCAAGCATTGGCATGGCCCCATTTGAGGCATTATATGGAAGAAAGTGTCGCAGCCCAGTATGTTGGAGTGACATAAGTGAAACAATGATTTTAGGGCCTAAAATGATCGAGGATACCGTTAAGAAAGTAAAAGAGATTCAAGTTAATATTCAAGCAGCACAAGATCGTCAAAAGAGTTATGCAGATTTGAAGCGTAGGGAAGAAGAGTTTGAAGTTGGTGACAAAGTTTTGTTGAAGGTATCACCAATGAAAGGTGTCATGAGATTTGGGAAGAAAATGAAAACTTATCCCAAAGTATATTGGTTCATATGAAATATTACAAAGGATATGCAAAGTAGCTTATAGGTTGGCCTTACCTATGGAACTAAGTAAAGTGCATGATGTATTTCATGTATCTTAGTTAAGAAGGTATATACCTGACAAGTCACATGTGCTACAACCTGAAATAATTGAGTTAGATCAAAGCTTAACAATCGAGTTATGAGGAAAGACCTGTCAAGATCCTTGACAGTAAAGTGTGTAGTACACGCAACAAGGAAGTTAAGATTGTTAAGGTACTATGGTCTAACCAAGAATATGAAGAAGAAACTTGGGAAGCCAAGGATGAGATGAAAAAGAAATACCTTGAGGTGTTTGAGGTATGTTGAGTTATGGGGATGTAACTCGTTTCCTTTAAGGGGGAAAGAATGCGGTAGAATTTCGCTTTTTTTCCTATATTTCCAGTTATTTTAGTGCTTTTTGCACAATTTTAACGGTTATTTCGAGTAATTTTGATTTCAAGTGGACATTAAAGGTAAAAGTATGTCAAAAGAGTACAACAATATTATACAAAGTGAGGAAAAGGTTTGATTTTCGTTACCCAAGTTTCGGTACGAAACTTCTTTTAAGGGGGGTAGACAGTAATACCACGTATTTTTATACGTATTTTAATTTAAATCATTATTTTATGAAGCATTTAATAATTTGAAATGAATTATTTTTGGTATTTTATTAATTAATTATAGGTCCATTTTTATTTATTTAATGATTTTGGAAATATTTTATTTTATTATTTAGAAACTTTGGGATATATTATTTTATAAAAGGTAATTTAAAGTCAATGGTATTTAAAGAAAGTCAAATGACTAGTTTGAATAGGATAAGGGACCATTAAGGGTCAAAAGAGAATTTAAGAATGGGAGGGTTTTGAGAGGGGGTATAAATACCCATCTTATGAGCAAGTTAGATCTTGCCTAAGGTGGAGGATACCCAAAGGTAAACTCTTTCTCTCTCTCCTCTTATTTTCTCTCCCTTAATTTTTCCCCCTCCCCTTATTTTTACACACCCACACGCACACACAAGGTGGTTGGCCGCCACCACCACCTCCCACCGGCCGGCCACCGCCTCCAGCAGCAGCAGCCGCTAGCGTGGAGGGCGGCAGCAGCCCCCTCCCTGTTGTGTAGCTGTGCGGCTTCAACAAAAAATATTATATAAGGCTTCTAAATTAATGTATATTGATGGGATTTGATTGTAGATGATTAGTATTATTGAAATAGGTGTTTTTAAACATAATTACAACAATTTTACATGTATTTATAAAGCTACAATTTTTATATAAGGGTTGGAATTATGTTTCTTGAAAGGATTTTTAATTACCCATTAATTGGGAATAAAAGAAGGGGTTTTAAATTAATTTTCAGCTTATTTTAGAGGGTTGATAAGTGATTTAAAGAGCGTATATATTGCTGGAAATTCATATTGAATACGTATTCATGTCTCTTTGTAATTTTGGATTGTAGGAGATTTCCAAGTGAGTGATTTCGTGTAGTCGTGGCGATTTTGAGATCATATTCGAGGTACGTTCGCGTACTCGGTAATTATTTAAGTGTATATAAGCATGCTAGGCTTTGTTTAATTGGATCCAAGGTAGTATCATGATAGGTATTGGTTGGAATTGTTGATTGGTTTAATGTTGGCGATTGATTTGTGAAGTATGATTTATTTGTGGTTAATGGATGATTGAAATTAATTATGTTGGCATGTTGAATATGAACCACACTTTTATTATTGGCATGATTGAGAGCATGTTTAATTAAACTAAGTGTTTAATTAAGGTTGGAATATTAAAAGAGAATTTTATTATAAGCATGAGAAAGGAGCTATTTAAGTGTCTATGTATACGAGGATTAAATTATATTTTGGCGCCTAAGTGCACTTAAGGTGTTCTAAACACCGAGGGATAGGATTTGTGGTGCTTTATGCGCTTAAGGTGTTATTTAACGCCGAGGTAGTTTAAAAAGGATTCAACATTTAATTTATGTGGTCACTAATTATTCAACAATTAAATTGGTGTGTTTGATTGCTTTGATGATTCATTATGATTGATATTATTATGGTTTGAGAGTCATCACCAAAACTAAAAATATGTAAATCATGTAAAGTGAAAGAGATTGCGCACCAAAACTCTTGGAACGTATATACCTCGAGTATGAACATATGGGGGGAGTTATGCGACTTTATATTTGACCATAACTTCTACTAGGAGTATAGGATGCTGAATTCCTTTTTATTATGCGCAGGAATTCCACCACTTACGAGTGGTTCTTTTATACTGGCACGGTTAGCTCCCGTGTTAGCACCCCTTTATTGGGGCAGGTTAGGGGGAAACCTATTCGATGCGTAATCAAACTAAATAAATAATCTAGTGATTTTTTAGTTGGATATGTTGTATGTTGTATGCTTGTAAACAGGTGCAACAAGGTAAGTTGTGTGATGATTGGATTAAAGCATATTAGTGTGTACTTTTTACGCTTATGTACTCAGCATTGCTGATTGTGTGTTTGTATGTTTGTTTGGCCTTGTCTTTATCTTTGCCCTACAACGACACATTTCTAATGGCGAGTAGTGGGGACAAAGTGAAGAGAAGCTTGTCAGGTGATGAAGCATATTCATGATGGGCATGAGTGAAGAGCGAATCATGCTTAGTTTATGTAAGAATATGATGTGATTTATGGTTTTGATTATCATATATTTTGCTTGTGAGACTAACACAAAGTTTTTAAGTCTTATTTCGGTTTTAATAAGGGCCTACAATGGTTCCAAGTTGTAGGTTGACTTCGTTTGACTTTGGTCTAACTTTACTTTCGTTGGTTTGACTCTTTTAAGTTGATTTGTTTTGATTGGTTTTTAAAGAGAGCCTTCCGCTATGTGTCTTTGATATTTGCCTTAGCCGTTTTCACGGTGGCGATAATGTCTTAGAATTTCCTATTTTGTATATTAAAAAGAGCAAAACAGGTATTTTAAAGGAAAGGAATTTCTAGGGTGTTACATGGGTATTCCGAGAATCAATATTCTGGACCCAGGCAGAGTAACAAGCGTGATAATCCGAGGTGCAATAATGTAAGCAATGTGTCAGATTCAAAAGTAGGTGAAGGCTCCAACAGGCCAAAACCAGAAGATCATCCTAACATCCAATCATACGGATTTGATACCGATATAGTCGGAGTAGTCAATGCTCTAAAAGAAATCGGGTAACCTGTGAGCTGGCCCAGAAAGAGTGACAAGTCAGACCACCAGAAAGATAAATGCAGGTGGTGTGAGTATCGTGGAGATCATGGGCATAAAACCGATGAATGTAACGGATTGAAAAGGGAGGTAGCCTGGTTGCTCAAAAAAGGTTACCTAAAAGATCTCCTAATCGAGAAAGGAAAGGGACCTGAAATCAAAAGAGAAGCCCTGCCAGGTCCGCCAACTTTGCCCCCTTCGAGCGTCGTAATCAGTGCCATAGCAAGCGAATCTAGCATAATTGGAATGACCTATTCCAATGCAAAGAAGATACCAAGGGTTAGTACGTCAGCTTCCAGCATCCCTCAAACCTATCCCAGCAAAGAAGAAAAAGCGTTAGATGAAATGAAAATAATATTTGACGAGAGCAGATTCAATGAGCAAAAGCATCGTGACTGTCTGGTTATCTCCCTCCATGTTGGTCATTACTTAATGAAAAGGGTGCTGGTAGATAATGGAAGCTCGGCCAATACAATATTCAAAGATGCCTTAGACTAAGCCATGTTCAGAGAGTCAGATATTATTAAGAGGTCTACGGTCCTCGTCGGGTTCAATGGTGAAGCCATGAATACCCTAGGAGAAATCCAATTGCCAACCTTGCTAAAAGGCGTCAATATGATGCATAAGTTTTATGTGATAGATTGCAACACTGCCTATCATGTAATAGTGGGAACCCCATAGATCCATAAAATGAAGGCTATCCCATCAACCTATCATCAGCTGCTAAAATTTCCAAGTCCGTGGGGGGTAGCAATAGTCGAAGGAGATAGAAAGCAAGCCAGAGAATGCTACCAGATCGCCATGAAACCCCATGGACCCTCAATCTAGCAATTACAGTAGAAATCCAACACCTGGACGTTTAAATGAGCTGCAATTAGATGAAGTGGTGCTGGAAGAATCCAAGCCAGATCAGATAGTCATGATCGGAGCTGCATTACCTGCAGATCAGAAAGAAGCCATCATAAAGTGCTTGAAGGAGAATTCAGATTGTTTTGCCTGGTCTCATCGAGACATGAAAAGAATCAATCCAGAAGTCATTACTCACAAAATCAATGTAGATCCGAGCATAAAGCCGGTGAAGTAGAAGAGAAGGAAATTTGCACTAGAGTGGAACCAGAATATAAATGAAGAAGTGCAGAAGCTACTAGATACCGGAAAGATAAGGGAAGTTAAGTATTTAGATTGGCTAGCTAATGTGGTCGTCGTCAGTAAAAAGATGGAACCTGGAAAGTCTGCATTGACTTTACAGATCTAAATAAAGCATGCCCTAAGGACCCGTTCCCCCTGCCTCATACAGATTCAATGGTAGATGCTACAGCCGAGCACGAGCTACTCACATTCATGGACGCGTATTCAAGTTACAACCAGATCCTAACGTATCTAGATGATCAAGAGAAGACCGCCTTCATGACAGATAAAGGAATCTACTGCTACAAGGTAATGTCGTTCGGGTTGAAGAATGCTGGTTCTACCTATCAAAGACTAGTTAACAAGATGTTCAAGGACTAGCTAGGGGACACCATGGAGGTCTACATCGACAATATGTTAGTGAAATCAAAGAAAGCAGCTGACCATGTAGACCACATGAACGAAGCTGTTAGCGTGTTGAGAAAATACGAGATGAAGCTGAATCCATCTAAATGCTCATTTGGAGTATCTGCAGGTAAGTTCCTAGGCTATGTAGTAACTCAAAGAGGAATCGAGGCTGGCTCAGATCAGGTACGTACTATTATTGATCTTCAATCACCTCAAATATTAAAGAGGTTCAG